TAAAATATTTAGGCATTAACTTATTAAAGCAATGTAATTAACTATGATGAAACTAATTTGACTGATGACTCATGACGCAAAAAAATCATTACTAAACGAGGAACGAAGTACCCAGAGAGGGTAATGAATAGCTCAAAGTCTTCAGTTTCATTTATGATAGCCGCTACAGCTGACGGCGCTTTATGGCCGCCGTGTGTGGTATAAAAGGTTCAAAACTTGTCACATGGACTGAAAACGGACCACAAGGAGGTACGGACGGAGGAACGGACCACGGTACGCAATGCGGTTGATTTGATGAAGATTGGATTAAATCGATCATTATACCTCACTTCAAAGAGAAAGTTGGGAAAAAGTGCCTAATAGGCGATAATCTCTCGTCGCATTTATCGATGGAGACAATAATGCTGTGCCATGAACAAAATATATGGTTCATTTTTTTTACCGGCGAATAGTACACATCTCACATACCGCTTGATGTGGCATTCTTCATGCCTATGAAGATAGCTTGGTGAAATGTAGTATTGAAGTGGAAAAAAAACCGATGGAAAAGCCCAAGCCACGATTCCAAAGGGATGTTTTCCTAGACTTTTAAAAAAATTATGGAAGAGCTACGTAACAATTACTGTTGCTAATATAATAGCAGGATTTCGGAAAACAGGAATATACCCGCTTAATGTAGAAGTTTTAAGCAGACTACCTAAAGTGCAAAACAATGAAAATAAAATTGAAATAGAAAAATCCGTTCTGGATCTGCTCAGGGAGATGAGATATGGAACCATGAACATAACTGAACCATAAAGGATAAAAGTTGGAAGTAATACCTGGACGAAGCGTTGGTACTGAAAGTGAAGACTATGTAGAAACAGAACAAGAGGAAATCCAACAGAAACCAAAAAAGGCAGAAGACATCCAAAATATCACAAAACAAAGAAAATACTGCAACTAATACTTACGACGGCAAAGAAAACAATATAAAGTATCTAAGTAATATCTAATGAAAATATATCAGATATTACTAGGTTACTTTGAATAAGTACTAAAAATATATCCAAATTCGCGTCTTAAAATTTTAAAGGATACAACTGATAATATTGATAATCCTGGTCCAAGCAGTTTACAAACTATCCAAACTCGGCGACCATCGTTTTACAAAAACGAAAAAGATATTCTGAAAGATTTCATGGATAACGATATATAATACGTGACTATATCTATGCTATTGTTAAAAGTGTATCTCATTGGTTTAGTACCTAGTTTTAAATGTTGATTATTGAAAAGTTAATTATTTAATGTTAACTATGTACCTACGTAATACCTCCACCGTTGTCGGTCCCAAGCCCGGATGCAAAAGGAGGGACCACAGCTACCGTAAAAGTTCAACGCCGAGCCTTAGGCGGCGGGAATTAACCTGACAACACCATGGCCACCCAGCGTTCATGAAGTGGTAGCCAATGACTGAGGAGACTAAATATCTTTTAAAAGACTGAGACGGAAGGACGTGGGAACCCGCCATTTAATTAACTCCCAAGAAAACCTCTAACCGTGAACACAGGAAATGATGAATGCGATTCGGCTAACACGGCGCCAGTCGGTACCCGGGCCGGCTGGTGTGAAATTGGCTACTGAAGCTCTAATTTGTGGAGGAAATAAAACAATTAGCACCAAAACATCTATACGAGCACATCATCTTATTGGCACCTGGAATAGGTGTCATTAAGCCAGGGAAATTAAGCATTGTGGAACGGGAGATGGAGTCTCACGACATTAGTATTTTGGGCATCGGCGAGACACATATGCGAAGAATCGGACATTTCAAGACAGCTTCGGGAAATACCATGTATTTCTCTGGTCTGGATGATTGTAGTCTTTATGGAGTGGGTTTTATTATGTCAGCAAAGATGAATCAACAAGTTCTTGGCTACAACCCAGTATCAGAGTGCATCATAAGTATCAAATTAAACACCAAGCCTTGCACGCAACATCCTGCAAGTATATGCTCCCACTTCTGCGTCTTCTGATGAAGATACAGAAAATTTCTATGGGACATTGGAAGCGACAATAGATGCAATTCCGAACAGAGAGGTCACCGTGATACTGGGAGACTGGAATGCGTAGGTCGGAAACGCTTATGATCCTCAACTTCATGAAATCATAGGGAAATTTGGTTTGGGCAACAGAAACGGACGTGGAGAGAAAATGATAGGAGTTCTGTATCAACAAGAATTTCACGATTCAGAACCCATGCAACGCCTTGCCTTTCGACAAACTATGGAAGGAAAACTCCAGACACCGCTGAACCGAATGAGACCTTGGTTGCGGTAATACCCAAGCACGTGAAAGCAGACCTTAAAAACACTGTCTGGATATCGGATACCACTTGGACTCTCATTCAGCACAGGAAAGAATTAAAAGTCAGCGGACTACAAGATCCGGAGATAATGCGAGAGTATGCCCTATAATGCCAAACTATAGATGCTTGTTGTAGAGAAGATAAGATAAGAAACATTGATGCCTTGGAGATGTGGTGCTGGAGGAAGATGCTACGAATCCCGTGGACAGCATATCGGACTAACGCATCCATATTAAGACAGCTCAATATCCAAACCAGGCTCTCTACCATATGCCTCAAGAAGATATTTGAATTTTTCAGTCACATTGCCAGAAAGAGCGGTGAAAATCTTGAAAAATTGATACTAACTGGCAAGATTGCAGGCAAAATATCTTGTGGCCGCAATCCAATGCGCTGGTCCGACCAAATCCGCACCACTCTGGATACCACCGTCTACGACGCCATATACACCGCCGAGAACAGAGGAAGATGCGGTCATCCACAGTGCGTTTCCAGAGATCTTTTTTGCCACGTACCATCCGGCTATGGAATGAGCTCCCCTCCACGGTGTTTCCCGAGCGCTATGACATGTCCTTCTTCAAACGAGGCTTATGGAGAGTATTAAGCGGTAGGCAGCGGCTTGGCTCTGCCCCTGGCATTGCTGAAGTCCATGGGCGACGGTAACCACTCACCATCAGGTGGGCCGTATGCCCGTCTGCCTACAAAGGCAATAAAAAAAAAAAAAAAAAAAAAAAAAAAAGATGGCGAAACATCATCCAAAGAAGGATAACGGGAAGAGATGGTCACGACCCTCAGACATGAGGTATGCGACTCAGGAAGAGAGAACCTAATAATGAGACTGTTTCTTAGAATTATAACTTGTTTTATGTGCAATCAATAAACGATGCAACTGATTGGTCTCGAATATAAGAATAAATAATTGATCTCGTCGATGAAAATTAAAGATTAAAAAGTTTTATATTTTTACTTTTCTATTGTTTTATTTCTACCATTAGGTAACATTTACTACATAACTACCTAGGTACCTATTTTTCACACTTACGTTATCTATTTATGCAGGTGTCTACTTAATCTTTGGAAATTGCCAACCTTAGCATTTTTCTCAATTCACCTTATACCTTGTGTCTATTGAACCCATGCGCGGGTCAATAGAAACGAAACATATTTTTGCATTTCGTTCTGTAACTAAGGAATAAATGCCAATTTAGATCTAAGAAACATGATTTATGCCCAATGTAATGTTCTTTTGACTATTGAAGACATACATAAAAATGAAGTAAAGTTCAATATTGTCTCTATTCACCCCGTTTTACTAATCTAATAATTTACCTTAATTAAGTACGGATACTTTCTTAGTATAAGTTCCTTGAAAATATTCTAATTTATTTTTAATTTAAATTCTTCCAATTTACGTACACATTCGTCAAGGATAAGTACCGGAAAAAAGCACGCAATATCCAGAAGGAATAAACTAAATCAAATGATATTAAATCTTATGACTCGATGTTACTAATTATGGCATGTGCTTCATTACTTGTTCAAATAAACGTGTTATATTTTAATTATGGCATGTATATTTCGTTCGTGTATCTCGAAACACAATACATTTTATTAGTTTATTAACTTTGAAACAAACATCAGACAAAAATTTGAATGATATGTTTATTCTTTTAATTCAATAGTTTAATTGCTAGCTATTTCAAGCTTTACTTATTTTATCTGTTAATTTAATCTGGTAATATCTTTAATCTGTTAATAATATCTTTAATTTGTTAATAATATAATATCATGAAATAGTAAGACAAATAAGGATATGGTAACAGCGGATATAGATTAATAATGAAATATGTAAGACAGGTGGGGTTTATTAGAATAAGATGAAATATTGTTAGTAGTTAGAAACAAAAAAAAAAACAAAAAAAATTTACTAAAGATAAAATAAACAATAGTAGGCCAAAAGGAGGATCTCCCAAAGAAGGAGTAGAGTGGATAGGGTGTAAGTTAAAAAACTAAATATGAACTGGATGTAAAAAGACTCTGACCTATGTTAGGGGAAACAGTAACGCCCTGTGATGACGGGTGCAAGAAAAAATAATAATAATAATATAATATCTTTTATCTGTTAATAATAATTTCACTGTTTCGCTTTCTGCGATTCTTTATAACATTTTGTTTTTTTTTTGCTACAATTAGCAAATAATACCCCATTATCATCTTCAATATATAAAATACTAGCGACCCGCACTCGCTTCGCTTCGGAAACATTAAAACACACATGAAACCAAAAAAATTAAATAAAAAAAATATTTAAAAAAGTAGCCTATGTTCATCAGGGACAATGTCGGCTTCTAATGGAAAAATAATTTTTCAAATCGGTCCAGTAGTTTCGGAGCCTATTCGAAACAAACAAACAAACAAACAAATCTTTCCTCTTTATAATATTAGTATAGATCAGACATCGCCGTCTATTATTATAAAATTTGGCACGACAAAAAATAACTCTAACATTATAATTTTCAAAAATATCAGATCTTAAAAAAATATATTCCATCATTGAAATTTACAATTTTTTTTTTCAATAATAATATTCCATTATGATATAGTTTAGTATAGTTTAGTATAGTTTTTGTTCACAGGTAAGTAAGTATATAAGTACCGTCTTTAAAAACATTCATAAATATATATCTTTTTATAATTTCATCTAAAAATAATTCGCAACGCAGCGATCTTTTTAATTTATTTAAAATTTAATATAATAAAATTTAACTACTATTACTAGATTTGTATACTATTATGTTGTTTTAAAATGTAAACATTTATCATATACATATATCTATATTCAATCCAAAAATATCCTTGAAGTAGTATTCAAGTAGTATTCAACCGCTCCCGATGTCAAAAAGCTAATAACATTTTAAAAGGAAACGTGTTAATCGAGAATATTCATGAGTCTCAAAGAAAAAATGCTGCCTTTATCCTCCCCAAATATAGGAAAAGGGACAATTGCAGCTCAGACTTAAATAACCTATGTAAATAAAGGTCTACATAGACATTCACGTTTCTAGCTGCGTCCAAAATTAGACCGACATCAATATTTTTTATATATATATATATACATAACCTATAAATATTATAAACAAATTGCAAACCGTTAACATGGTTTTTGCAAACTTAAGCCAAAATGCTTATCGTTGTAATAGCCCAAGCGTCCGACTGAGGCAATATATAGCCGTGAACTTGTTAATAGTAAATTTTAATTAGAATTTTTTGTATCGTACGAAAACATCAACCTGACAACAAGTAAGTGAAAGTTACTTTGATAGCAACGATGTAATTCCCAAATATTTAAATACAACAATAGTTAGTTTGTATTGGTACGATATTTATTATACAAAACTTAACACAAAATGGAGAGATCATAAAGCCATGGCCACCCTAAGACCCAAAAAAATAGCCAATAAAAAAGTCCCACACCTAATAGCTATTCTCATAGCGCTGACATGCAATTATTTAAGTACGTTAATACTATTACTGTACTATCTTCGCGATAAATTTTAAACTTGACATTAGACCTGCCAATCGGTCTCCACATTTGGATTCATGGAATGACAAAGAGAACCAGAATCGCATGAATATAAATACATACATCGATTACAAACGTTAGTCGAACAACACGCAAGCAAGTAGGTACCGCTTTTTCGAGCGTAACCAAACTGGCTTGTCATAGGTGACAAGTTATACAAATGTCAAAAAACGGAAACCAATCGAATCCAAGTAATTCCAGAAAACAGTGCACGTGTCTTGGAACTCCGCGTGGCAGTTCCAGGTGCGTATATGCTAATTTCTTAAATTCTAGACGCATATCAGGGGCCTAGGATATCTTGCTGGGCAAGTTCCCTAACTGTCCCCGACTGGGGATCGGGTGTATCCAGGGTCAATGTATGTCCTAACAAATTACCCCACTACACCGAATTCACTGAGCCGGAAAATGAACATTTCACATATATAATGATAAGCACTATCATATAGCATGTTCCGACCGGGATTTTTAACTAAGGAGTCCCCGATACTTGGGCGTTATCGCAAACGCTATGATCACGGGTAGACTCTACCAATGCTCGCATGCAAGGCCCGCTGTTCGCATGATCTACGGAACCAGCGGATTTATCCGGATTCGCTTAAACCGGTTTACGCAAGAGCCAAGCTGCGAAAACGAATGTCATACCGTACATTAGACAAATAAAAATATACTGTAGCGAGTCGTTTGTTCTTCTATTCGTTAAGCCACATGAATTGCCTGATTTCATCCTCCGACGACGGACAGCAATGCGGAGGCGCTTTTTCCAGAAGCATGCGTAATTCCTAAAGGACATTTAAAAGTTATATAGCTTTAAAAAAAATTGTCAAATTTAACATTTAAAAACATTTTGACAGTGAAAACGTACCTTATTTTTAGCTTAATTAAAAAAAGCAAATAAAAATGTAATGATGAGTCGTGATGGGTAACTATCGTATCTCTGTAAACATTACTAGATGTTTCTTATAAAGCAATTCATGCACTATGAACCTCAAAAATTGTTCAAAGATTTCAATTTTAATTCTAACTACCTACCATTAACTGTATTACTTTTAAATTAACAACATGAGACTATATTTGTTGTATATGTCTTATAAGAATATCATAAAATGGAGAAAGACAAGCCATCAGTCCCCTGGCAACGTTGCCCAATTTAAGTTACCATATTCAAACATAACAGATTCTAATAAAAAAAATTCAGTGTTACCAGCATTCTCATTTGAAAAATCTTACTGAAACTCATACGTACCCATGAATAAATCGTTAAACTATTGTCGTAAACTTATTTTTCATTTTTCGGTCCACTAGGTGTACAATTTATTAAGATATTTTGTACGGACCCAGACAACGTTCGACCAGTTGTTTCGTTGTAGACGTTATTTAATGGCGCGACTCAACCGCTGAGAATAAGAAATTCATACTGGTTTATGTGGCTTCGGTGCCACCAAAGGTTAATGCTCTTTAATTTTATTATTACTAATTAACAGAAATCATAAAAAGTTTATATCGATGATTAAGTTAAACTTTTTGTTTCTACAACAAAAACATTTTCCTCTTTTACGTATAAAAATATAGTTACGCATTTAATAAACTAGATTGTGCGTGTAAATTGATCCACGTCACTTTTATTGAAGGAAGAAACTTTTAACAGTTTATACAATACAATAATTTGAAAAATTACATGTTTTCCCCAAAATAATTAATCTAATTAGATGATTTTTAAAGCAGAATCTATATTTCAAGGTATGAAATGAACACGTAACAATGTGTGAAACAAAAATTTAAAAAGCATATAATGTTTTTTGAAAAAAAAAAAAAACAAATTTGCAACAACAATAACCCACACCATTCGAACGAAGCTTCAAAAAGAAGCTGAAATCTCAAAAAAGCATAATAATAATTAATTAAACACGTATATAATAAAACTATTTAACCCTTTGCGATCCTAAGACTAATGTAGAGTAAACTATATCTCCAATACGTGCGGACACTGGACCTCAAAGGGTTAATAATTACCATAAAAAATCTCTTCACATTAGAAAAAAAAAATTATTTAAAAAATCTCACAACTTTTACCTGCAATCAGTACTATTCGAATGACAGCATTCAGTGTTGCCAGTGTAATTTTTTATATTCCTACCACATACCTCCATGGCGTTTCTGTTGCGCTGCGCAGCTACGATATGATTGACCACCGGCGCGGGATAGTCCTTGCCTATTATACAGTTGGCACGTTCTTGCACGTCCAGAGGCGCTTTCCAGGGCTCGTAGCTGTAATGTCGACAACGAATCTACTTACCTATTACTGAGACTTGAGTTATCAATGGCATAGAGTAAGTATTTAACTTATTGGTTATAATTATCTTGTCTAGTGGTGTATCGATACAGATGAGAAAGATATTTCTCCACACATACATTTTGAAGTCGTCGTGGCCTAAAAGATAAGACGTCCGGAGCATTCGTGTCTAGCGATGCAACGGTGTTCGAATCTCGCAGGTGGGTACCAATTTCTCTAATGAAATACGTACTTAACAACTGTACACGATTGACTTCCACGGTGAAGGAATAACATCGTGTAATAAAAATCAAATCCGCAAAATTATAATTTGCGTAATTACTCTCTAAAACCTCTTGTGAGTCCGCACGGGTAGCTACCACCGCCCCGCCTATTTTTGCCGTGAAGCAGTAATGCGTCTCGGTTTGAAGGGTGGAGCAGCCGTTGTAACTATACTTGAGACTTTAGAGCTTATATGTCAAGGTGGGTGGCGGCATTTACGTTGTAGATGTCTATGGGCTCCATTAACCTACCAGGTGGGCTGTGTGCTCGTCCACCCGTCTCAGCAAATACGCCCCCCCCCCCCCCCCCCCCCCCCCCCCCCCCCCGACCCAATGCTCGTCCTCCTGTCCTGATGAAACGCGTCAAGTGGCCGATATATACTCACATGTATTCGGTCGGCACCCGCGCCAGCTCGGGCACGTAGCGCCGCACGTACTCGCCGCTGGGGTCGAGCCGCTGGCCCAGTCGCACTGGACACGCGCACTCGCCCGAGTCCAGCAACGCTTCGAAGGCACTGCTCGACACCCACATCCAGTTGCCGGCGCACACGGACCTTCGCGAGTAGGTACGAGATTATAATTATTGAAGTTCACAATTTTATGATTTTTTTTATGAAATTTTAGCTGTCCCGGCAGACTTCGTAGTGCCTCAATCGATAAATAAAAGACCTAAACTTTTGTATAAAAAAAACTTAAAAAAACCAAAAGAAATCCGTCCGACGGGGGACGCACCGAAGGAAAAACAAAATTGTTATTTTTATTTAATTCCGAGCATTTGCATATTTTATTTTTCTACCTTTTAAACTTCTCTGGACTTCCACAAATAATTCAAGACCAAAATTAGCCAAATCGGCCCAGCCGTTCTCGAGTTTTAGCGAGACTAACCAACAGCAATTCATTTTTATAAATATATAGATATAGAATATAGATAGATTGGAAATGTTAGTGTGTTGAGTTCTGGAAACAAACATACACTCCGCCATCGTAGTCGGTAATTCAAAATGATACCGAATGTCATATCGAAGTTCGGTATTAATAAGGTTGAGTTTGAGAATATTTTTAAAATTCTTAGTTGGAACAAAGTACGCCTAATTATAATGAGAATTTGCCGATAGTCCGTACAAAGCTCATTTACTGGGGTGAATTAAATTGTGGGTTGCGTCGATCGAGGGGTAAGGCGTCCATTCATTCAATCTATGTTTACAGAATGAAATGACACATTATTATTGAAACTATACTGAGACCTTAGAACTTAGATTTCATGGCGCGTTTACGTCGTAGATTCTATGGGCTCTGATAACCACTTAACACCAGGTGGGCTGTAAGCTCGTCCAACCATCTAAGCAATAAAAAAATATATTTAGGTCTATGATTTTATCCGTCTGATTGAATTTAAATTTGACTTAAATACTCTCGTTTGCGATGGAGGCACTGACTACGGACCCAAGTTACGTAGTATTTTTTTTTAAGGGATTTATGACCAGGTAACTAAGACCTTTAAGTCATGCTTTATTTTAATTTATATTCTGATTTTTATGAAAAATGATAATATGGAGTGAAATTAATTAATTTGACACATTAATCAACTGGGATGAAATTAAATGAGATCAGATGATATGGGATGAAATATACTCTTAGTAAAATGGTGGTTATTTACTGAGACTTTTTGGAAGATCCCGAGAAGTTACGTTCAGCGGCTTTGTTTCATTTTCCCACATTTGTGCACTTTCACAGATATTAAACAGTTAATAAACCACCGTTATTACACATTTAAACCTGAAGAAACACTAAATAGACAAAATAAAACAAATCACACAAATTCACTCCTCGTGTTCCCGCCAAAAAGTCCAGTTACATAGTATTATCTATGCGTAGAATAGGTTATGACGGCAACGGGTTTGGTTTCACTCCATATTATCATTTTTCATAAAAATAAGAATATAAATTAAAATAAGGCATGACTTAAAGGTCTCAGTTACCAGGTTATAATATCTCTTAAAAAAAACGACGGCAATGGTTGCCATGGTGACGGTTGCTATGGGATCGGCGGGGGAGGGGCGGGTGCAGTACCAGTCGGCGTCGAGCAGGTACTTGAGGAAGTGCGCGAGCCCGTGCTCCCAGGAGAGCCACAGCGTGCCGCGCGTGAGGAAGGAGGCGACGGTGTTCCGCACGGCGTGGTGCAGCCAGCCCTCCAGCCGCAGCTGCCGCATGGCCGCGTCCACGAACGGGAACCCCGTGCGCCCCGACGCCCATCTGCACGCAGACGCACACTACTGACATCCCCTGCTAGGTTTACTGCTGGTAGGACCTCTTCTGAGTCCGCGCGGGTAGGTACCACCGCCCTGCCTATTTCTGCCGTGAAGCAGTAATGCGTTTCGGTTTTAAGGGCAAGGCAGCCGTTGTAACGATACTGAGAACTTAGAACTCATATCTCAAGGTGGGTGGCGCATTTACGTCGTAGATATCTATGGGCTTCAGTAACCACTTCACACCAGGTGGGCTGTGAGCTCGACCACTCATCTAAGCAATAAAAAAAAGGTTAACTAAGTCTTGGAAAAGGTAAGCTTAACGGTAACGGTAGACAGCGGCTTGGCTCTGCCCCTGCCATTGCTGAAGCCCTTGGGCGACCGTAACCACTCACCATCAGGTGGGCCGTATGCTTGTCTGCCTGCAAGGCCATTAAAAATAAGGTTATAATTTTTTACATTTTTTTTTGTGTGATAAAAATTATTTTCTTTGTCATTTGTACTGCATGTTGTATTATTGTCAATAGTCCAAATTACTAAACTTAAGCTAACAACTCTAACATTTTTGTGCATTCTTCATAGACAATTTGAACCAATCACAACACGTGACGTCATAAAATATGTTACCAAATGATGGCAAAACAACATAATTCATTAACTACATGTATATATTTTATTAAATCTAAGAGTTTATGAGACTTGAATAAACCCTAAAAAGGAAAACGAATAGACATCTGTAAGATGCAATCTAGATAGCAAGAGAGAATACTACTGAAGATTTCACTACTTCCCAAAAAACCATAAGTCTCAGTCCCTAGCTATTTTCTCAAAGATTCCGATAATTTCGTGACATTTCATTTGATGAGTGCTCGTACTGTCTTCATATCAATAAAACTAACCTCTCCAGTTCATCTCCCTCAGGGCTTTTCCAGGGGATGTCCAAGCAAATAGGGTTGTCGGTCATCTGTCCGTAATGAGGATTGTTCACACTCATCGTGTAGAAGTACTCGCGCCATATCAACTGACCTAAAACATTTCCCGAAAAAAATATTATTTTAGTTAAAAAAAATACACTTCTGCTTTAATAAAATTATCAAACGGAACCGCACTATTTTGTATTGTGACGTCAACGTTCAAAAGCAAGATATTTATTTTATTGGCAAATATCTCTTAGTTGGTATTTAGATTTTATTAATTTTTTAATTTTCTATATATTAATACGTGAAGCACAAACTTTGTACACCTTTTTACGAAAATTGCGCGGACGGAGGAGTATGAAACTTCCCACACATATAGAGAATATAGAGAAGGAGTGCAGAGTCTAATTTTTAAATTACGCATGAAAAAATACATTAAATCAATAAATAAAAACATTACACACACTACCATGTATTTGACACACACACGCATGCATACTATTTGTTTATTGTCAAATTTTTCTTATTGTTTAGTCTGTGGTCAAATTGAGAATAGAAAAAAGTGTACTCTTGGTGAAAAAAGTGTACCGTAAAATGGGGCGATTAGGGACAAATTCCAACTTTATGAGCAATTTTAAGGTAGTTGTTGATGTATATAATGCTATATCAGGATCAAAATGATTCGAGTCTTGGGGGCATCTTTGTTGTCCAATTTAAAAATAAGCAACTAGCATTCCAGTTTAAGCAAAAAATGCAAAAATAGGTGTAATCCCTATTTACCCGAAAATTGCGGTTAATTGGGATGAAATGAGAAATTTGCTAGGGTTGGCACTACTTTTATTTTTATATATAGTTTTAATTAATTTATTTATTTAGTTGCACCAACAAAGTGATCATCAATAAAAAAAATTTAAAAACTGACAAAAGTACATGGCAGACATCACCTCAATTATAGGTGCAATCGACAGTGCTGATATTTCTATCTGGGTTAAGAGATTAGGTGTGTCGGTTATTCCATGGATTAATCAGATGAATACCCCCACTCTGAACAAATATTAAATATTTTATTATGTATTACTTAGACATTTTTGTCCACCTTGAGATTTCATTGATCTTGTTACATGTCTCTGCAAAATCGACTTACTTATATTAAATTGCTTATCTATTTCAACTAAAGACTTATTCCCAATTTCGCTTCGAATAAACCAGATTTTTACCAACAAATTTAAAAAATATTGTTATAACTACATAGACAACCCTACAAACCTGTACCTATTTATACTTAGGTCGTTTCCATTTCACGTATTCTCATCCCAATTGACCCCTTTTTCGTTGTTATTTGTACCTAAGACGTCCCCAATATCCCCAAAAACAACAGATTTTTACATGTATTTTTATTTAATCAAATACATTAAAACCAATAACAACTGAGACTTACCTTTAATATATATGCTGGTTCAAACACTAAATAACGTTTATAAATCATAGTCGTCTTCTATTATTATCAAATAAATAAAAGAGAGCAAAGTTTCTAGCACTAAAATAATTACCACCACAGGAAGTTAATTTGAAACGCGATTTTTTATAAGTTAGCAGCTATTATCATGCATATTCAGAGTTGTTTTGTGAACTTTCAACATTCTACTATTAAACTACAAAAAATGGAAGATTTTGCAACGAATATAAAACTTATATTGAGCGTCGAAAGATTTTCCCGGTTTTTTCCCGATTCGCCTCTCAATCCCTAAACGCCCCATTTTACCGGTACTAAAGTGTACTCTTGGCGAAATCTGTGATTGTAGAAGTATCTTTGATAATAGAATCATAATCGTGTATAAGCTTATAATTTCAATTAGTTATAGTCGAATATCGACTACCGGGGGACCACTAATTATTAACAAATGAGTCTTGAACTATCAGTGACAGAGAAAAAAGAATGACAGATTATTGTGGTATGTTGTGCGAAGTGAAGATGATAGTGTGGCCAAAAACCCCGGGGAATTGAATGGACTGTGTGAAAGAGGATATACTTTAGAAGGGTGTGAGTATAGAGATGAAAATAGACTTTAGTGGAAAAGAGGAGATGCTGCGCCGATCACACATAGAGCATACGCATACACATACACATAAGAGCAAGATCATATAAGTTGCGTCTGCTTTTTCTGTGCACGTCATAAGTTCACATTCAAACATCTAAACACAAATAAATTTACTTTCATCACACCAACACTAGTATTAACAAAAAAAATGGAAGATCACTGAATGCGAAATGGATAAATTTCAGGGTACATTTTTGGAATTTTATAAACAGATTGAAGTAATGTTTTCATTACGGATTGAACAAGATTATATAAATATTAAAGATTTATATGATCCATTTATAAATGTAGGATTTTCTGCCTTCGAAGGCTGATGACTACGCTATCCATCTAATGATGAGTGGTATACTAACACTGTTGGAACACTGTTGTTACCATTTATTTTAGAGGTGGCCAACTTGATTAGAACTAAGATCTACGGTCTACTGACGAAACTCTTTGCGAACTACCAATAACATTTCTTGAAATTTAATGAAACCATGTGTAGTTCTGTATACAAATAAGCAGCATATTCTCTTTTATTAAAAAAATTATAATAAACCTGAAAATATATAATAAAAGAGAACTATTATGTGGAAGAGGGGATGAATAATGTGAAGTAATGGTCATTAACAAATGATACAAGCTGAAGATGATGAGTGCAGCAATTGGTGATTACGTTGCGCAGTCTATTCTATGTGTATTTAAGTGACGTCAAAGCTATTTACATTAACAGCAATATTACCGGTAATGTATTGAGTAGAACACAAGCTTCCCTGGTGCACTTGCTGGAACAAATCCTGGAGCGACCAGTAGAATCTGAAAACCAAAATATATTAGTCGTATAGACCACGTATCTCCCAGCTACCATTTTTTTTCCCTACCTATGCTGACAGCCTTGAGAGGCTATTTCAGCGTTATCATAACGTTTGTAGGTGAGCTCACGGGGCTCAAACCGGAGTGTTGCTAACACTGGCCCTAGCAAGAGCCGTGCTTCGCAGAATCTACCACCGGATCGGAAATGCGACCCACTGAGAAGATCCGGCGAGAAACTCAGTGGGCTGTGTCTGTGGGTTAAGACTACCATCGCTAACATACACACGCACGCGACTTTGTACCTTCAATGTACTATATTTTCATTTTGGATTTTGCATTACATTAAAGCATCGTTTTTTTATGCGTGGACGAGCTCTCGGCCCACCTGGTGTTAAGTGATTACCGGAGCTCATAAACAATTATTTTTTTCAACCTGCGCTGATATCCTTGTGAGGCAATTTCAGCTTCTCCTTGACTAGCTCACAGGGCTCAAACCGGGAATGTTACTAACGCTGGCCCTAGCAAGAGTGCTTCGCAGAATCTACCACCGGATCGGGAGCGCGACCCACTGAGAAGATCCGGCAAAAATCTCAGTGGGCTGATAGACATCTACAACGTAAATGCCGCCACCCACCTTGAGATATGAGCTCTAAGGTCTCAATATAGTACAACGACTGCCCCACTCTGTATCACGGCAGAAATAGGCAGGGTGGTGGTAGCTACATGCCGACTCACAAGACGTCCTACCGCCAGTAAAAAAAACGATTTCTTATTTAGGTTTACTTTATATCCGTTTGGGCTTCGAGAACGTTCTTGCTACACTTTATAATGAGAAGACGATTTTTACACAAGCAGAGGGTAGGACTGTCATACTTACTTCCTAACGGAGAGGCATCCGAACCGTAGAGCGGGACTCAGCGATATCGGAGGCCCGAGGAGGTCCGGGCTGCCGTGCGTCGGTAGATAGGAACCTCTGGAAGTAATTAACCTATTTTAATAGACCTACATATATAGTGCAAATTTAATAAGTGCAAATTTAATAGCCGACCCCGATTGGTCCAGAACTTATACCTGTTCGGACAGTCATAACTTCCACGATGACAGATCTCAACGTCCAGACTTGTGGTACAGGCGATGATAGTTTTTTTTTCTTCGATTGGTGGACGAGCTCACAGCCCACCTGGTGTTAAGCGGTTACTGGAGCCCATAGACATCTACAACGTGAACACGCCGCCCACCTTGAGATATAAGTTCTAAGGTCTCGAGTATAGTTACAACGGCTGCCCCACTCTTCAAACCGAAACCGATTGATGCAATCTCTGGCCTTGAGATATTCAACAAGCACTTGATATACTTTCGGTTTTGTGTGAAGACAGGTGAGTCAGTAGCTAGTGTGGAGGAGTAGCTACTCATCGAGTTCCACACTTCGGATGAGCGGCTCACACTGCACAAGGCGGGCCAGGAGTTCCTGGGGGAACGGGAATGATGCTCGCGGTCCGTTCTCGTGCACACGCAAGTAAAAGTCCAGCTTGAAAAATTTCAGGATATGGAGCACGACCTGTCTATCTAAAGTCTAGGTACAAACTAGTGCGAATGTACCCAATCCGCCATTTTGAAATTTCAATTGACTAGCTTAGTGTTGCCAGGTGAATCCCAATTTTGCCATCCCAAATAACTTAAGCACAAAAAGCAATGGTTGTTTCAAAATGTCTAAATTTTGTAACACAAAATAAACGTTGTCGTCACTCCAATGTAATTCAAAGCGGTCACCAGTATGACATTTTTTACAGTGAGAAGATAAGATGTTTCTCATTCATTTATTAAAAAAATCGATTCAATTATAAAGTGTACAACTAAGACATCCTTTGTTTTGTAACAACCTTATCAAACTGCAACTATTAAATACCATTCTTTTTACACATTTGCTTTTTTAATAATATATATATATATNCGGAAACCTAATCAGGAATCGTGTTACTCGCGGTCCGAATAAAGCGGAGTACTCGTAATCACAGCGAAGTGTGTATTCACCTGCAGAACGTCTCGTATTCGACGGCGAGTCGATGTTGCATCTGCTTCAAGGCGGCCGTCTCGCCGCCGACCCAACGTATCATCCGGATGTCTTCGTTTTCGAGAAACACTCCGAGGTCTTCGGGATTCGGCACCTGGACGACATTCAACAGTTTACCGTACCAAGTAAAGCAATAGCTGTATATATTGTTACTTGGCGTGTGCAATCAGTCTTTGGGAAAGTATAGTGGTTCTTTTTTATTGCTTACTAGCTGACCCGGCAGACTTCGTAGTGCCTCAAACGATAAAATTAAATAAAAGACCTAAACTTTTGTATAAAATAAACTTAAAACAAACAAAAGGAATCAGTCCGACGGGGGCCACATCAAAGGGAAAACAAAATTGTTATTTTTATTTAATTCGGAGCTTTTTCATATTTATCTACCTTTTAACTATATATATATATATATATATATAGATAGATATAGGTAAGCAAACGAGCCTACCGCCCACCTGATGGCCAGGGGGATGTCAGAGGTAGGCATAGCCAATTTGCCTACCACTGAGTACTATCCACAAGCCTCGTTTGAAGAAAGACATGTCATAGCGCTCGGAAAACACCGTCAAGGGAAACTCATTCCAAAACCGGATGTTACGCGGCAAAAAAGATCTCTGGAAACGCACTGTGGATGAACGCAGTGGCTCCAAGTAGTACTGATCAACTTTGTGCCGGTGGTGGAAGGTGTGATGGTAAAAACGAGATGGAGAGATCATCTCGTCTAAAAAGTAAGACCCCCGGTGAACTGGTATCGCGCGATGCGATTATATCGGTGTTAAAATCCCGCAAACAAACATCTATTTTGAATACGGGGTGTTGTTTCACAAAGAGTTTATAATACCAAGCCTAAAACTTTAGACAGTGGTCTAATTAAAATAAAAGATGCGACGAAAAAAAACCCCTCCGTAAATAGATTTGGAATAAAGAGACTTAACACCAGGTAGGCTGTGAGCTAGTCCACCCATCTAAGCAAAAAAAAACACGAGTTCTAAGGTCTCAGTATAGTCATACCACCAGTAAAATGTCTTTAAAGTGGGTGACTTATTTACATTGTTGAGGTCTATGGGCTCCGGTAACTTCTTAACGCCAAACGAGCCACGAACTCCATTAAAAATGTACAAATTTTTAACAAACCAATTTATTCAGAAATGTATTATTTTATTGACAAAACGTACCTTGTCGTAAACAGTGAATTCTTCATAGAAACACAGCGGCAATGTACCGAACTTAATACCGCGGAGTTTGGCGTTGTCGACAGGCCGCGGCGGGTCACCGATGGTCGCCACAGTATGCTAGAATGTTAGATAAGTACTCATCTATCGACAGACTCGGCGGTGCAGTACCTAGTTAAAGGCTCTGACTTTTGCGCTCAAGGGTCGTGGTTTCAATTCCCACATCGGGCAAATATTCATAAGTAGTTATATATGTATATATTGAAACATATATAAGCATTGTTACACCGGCAAAAGCAACGCCATCTATCGACGAATAGCATAAACGAATATCAAAAGAACCCGTAAACTCGAGAAGTACAACGCCATCTATTGTCAAATGGCGGAAACACATATCGAAACTACTCGACTTGTCAAAAATGTTCTCGATAATTTTAGGGATGCCGTATCTATAATAAAAGCGTTGCAGAGATGGCACGAAGACAGTCAGTAATCGGATCTAGTCGAAGCGAAACAGCGAACGGATCACCTGAAGCGAAGCAGAAGAAGTGAATTACGAAGTTTAAAGTGTTCTAAGTGTTATACAGAGTTTTGATTCATACTTTGATGGAACTTTTATTTATCCCGAATCCCAGCGCGTAACAGTATGTTTATCAGTCTCTGGTAACCATAACACAGGGGATTCAAAATTGGGGCCGGGATGACCGTGCGTGATTTATTCCCAGTTATTATTACTATTATTACATGATCCATTGTAATCGCAAAACTTTAATCGAATCACAATTGAAATGGCAACGTGTGAGCATTTCAATAAATTTTCATAAGGCCGTTACGATGCTTTTCGGTAAAAACCGAAAATCATCCGGTCCGATATGACAGTAAGCAAACATATCGAATAAAGTTTTTTTTTTAAATCAACTATACAATTTTTTTTTCATTCAACTGATGTAATTTGGGAGAGGTTGGACATAGAGCAGTTGACCACTGTGGGACGATGCTGATGAGAATTTTTTATTATTATTTTAATCGTAATCAATTTGTCTAAATGGTCTCTGACCAAAAATTCGATGACACTTCGTTTTAATCTATTCATTTCTCAACCGTTAATGTCTCAAATCGTCTTCTCGCATTCTGTATAAAAACTTACTAATTTTACGGGAGAGTGTTTTAAAGGCTTAACATGTGATATTTTTAATATTAATCATCTTTGCAACATTTTTTTTTACCAGTTACATTATCTGTCTTTTAAAGTAAGATAAAATTATGTATTAATTTTGTTAATAGTAGTCAAAATATAAACTAAAGGTAAACTAAAAAAAAAACTATTATAAATCTGAGCTACGCTCTTTTGACAGTATTTATGAGAAAAATACTTGTGATACTAAACGATTCCGTATATTAATTCAATTTCGAATATTTTTGGAAATTGTACGCTTTTAATGCGAAAAGACGAAATATTGACGCTCTCACGAAACACGGTCGAACCAGTAATGGACAGTGAACAAATTCGTATTATCACCAGAAACATTTGGTACGTGAGCGGCGGTATTCCCCCGTTCGCTTTGATGACGGTGTCGGGCTCCCACAGGGTGTGCGACACGTGCTCCCGACACGTGACCCCGATCTCGCGGCACGCCGTCTTCACGCTCTCGTCCCTGGGACGCCACACCGGCTCGCAGTCCTGTTCGAAGCACAGCTTCCGAATNAGTGAACAAATTCGTATTATCACCAGAAACATTTGGTACGTGAGCGGCGGTATTCCCCCGTTCGCTTTGATGACGGTGTCGGGCTCCCACAGGGTGTGCGACACGTGCTCCCGACACGTGACCCCGATCTCGCGGCACGCCGTCTTCACGCTCTCGTCCCTGGGACGCCACACCGGCTCGCAGTCCTGTTCGAAGCACAGCTTCCGAATACCTGAACAAATAATACGCATATTTCGCTATCAGGATACTACGTAGATTAACGTTGTTTTTAAAAAGCGTCAATTAACAATTCACCAGTAAAACTGTGGGCTACTCCCACATATACACTTACACACAACTGGTACGCATTTACATACACCACATTACATTTTATTCCGACACCAATTTCAGTCGTGTCGATGCGCACCAGTCGACTACATTGAACACACACACCCAAAACCGGTTTGCTGTGACGTCGGGCCCATACGTCGTTGTCCGCGCACAGCACCGCGCTGACTTGAGTCATAGCCTACCCGCATCGACTAATGCCCGCTTACGTTTCGCTTCGATAAATTTGTCTGTGTACCGCCTACGAAATTTTCAAGATTATATACAAGTTCCGAATAACAGCATTTGGACCGTCGGTCTACCGACCAATATCACCCGCTCGGTGAAAGATCATCCCACCGTTGTTAATCATCTCCAAAAAATATAAACAAATACATGGCATTGGAAGCCAGATGAGAAAGAAACCAATCAACAATCACTCCAATTTAAGGTCTGAAAAAAGTGGCACTACATTTAAAAAGTGAAACATCAAATTTTATTCGACAGCGACGGAGCAACGCAAAGCTGCCGTCGCGCGAAATATGTCTTGTCGGATCCCCCGGATTCACTCTCGATACTTTTAGGCCTCTCAAGCACCGGTCACCGTCCTCGTCGAACTCGTCGATTACGACGAAGAGTTCGACGAGCGAACTAACTCATAGACACAGTCCACTGAGTTTCTCGCCGGATCTTCTCAGTGGGTCGCGATTCCGATACGGTGATAGATTCTGCGAAGCACTGCTCTTGCTAGGGCTAGTGTTAACAAATTCTCTCAGGTTGAGCCCGTGAGCTCACCTACACGTCCGGGCATAGCTGGAATAGCCTCTTAAGCTACCAGCAAATAGGTAGGAAAAGAAAAAAGGAACACCAAATATTACTGATTTCTTCTACCTATGTTGGTAGTCTCGATGGGTCATACCAGCTTTGCCAAGTAGACAAGCTCACGGCGCTCAGCTTGCCTAAATATGTGACTGAGTTTTCGGTACGCCACTTACCAAATTCTTCCCAGAGTCTGCGGAACACAGCACTGGGTTTCCCTTTAACAAGGAGTAATCTTCCGCCGTACTTCTTGAATTGCTTGTCCAAATCATCCAAGGCTTCTAGCAAGTACCGCATTCGGTTGTACCCGACCACTTTCGTTCCTGTTGAATGTACAATGTAGTCAGTAATTTCTCAAATACTGGCTGTTAGAAGACCGCTTCCGAAAACGAAACGCCGCGCCCCCGCCGTGCCGCACCTGTGTGCATGTAAAAGAAACGCCGCGCCCGGGCGTTCGTTGATCCGAGCATCAGCTGGTTTTAATTTTGTGTTTCATTGCTGGCTTTTCTTTGAGTAAAGTAATGTATATTTTATGAAACTATAGTTTCATTTAGCTATACTAAAATGATGAAGGGTAAATAATGCTAATAAAACATTTTTAAAAAATGTTTTTTTTTAATAAGGACCGATTTTTTTCCGTCCCATCCATCAAAGGTGTCATTAGGACTATCGTCTATCTTCGTTTTCGGAAGCGGTCTCATAACACCCAGTATATATTCCATTCATCCGGATATAAGAAAGCATGTAAAACCGGGCGGCTAGTGGTGTTTCCATATAATGAAGCCCGATATGATGTTTTATACGTTATCAATTAAGAGTACAAGACTAGTAAAATACAAAGCGCCGACTGGTGGTAGGACCTCTTGTAAGTCCACACAGGTAGGTACCACCACCCCGCCTATTTTCTGCCGTGAAAGGTACAATGCGTTTCGGTTTGAAGGGTGGGGCAGCCGTTGTAACTATACCTTAGAACTTATATCTTAAGGTGGGTGGCGCATTTACGTTGTAGATGTCTATCGGCTCCAGTAACTATTTAACATCAGATGAGCTCGTCGACCCATCTAAGCAATAAAAAAATAGAAACTCACCAGCAGTTTCCCCGTCAAAAATGAAAATGGGAAAGAAAGGGCCGCTCTTTTCTTCCAACGCCGAATGAAGAGACGGATTGTCGTGGAGACGCAGCCCGTGACGGAACCACAGAACGCTACCGCCAAGCATCTTTAGTACCCCCTTACTATTATTCGCTTAGAAATCTGCAAAGAAGATATCACCCATACAAATTTACAAATTCTCCGAGATTCTCCTCTCAGCTCTTATAATTAACAAGTGATTTATGCGTATTTGCCGCTAGTGATATTAACAATGAAAATATATCGCTGAGGGATTATTGAGCACTTATCAATGTGTGATTGCGTGCTTATGCAAAAAACCCGGTCATCGTTTTCGTCGAACCCGTCGCTTGCGTCGAAGGGCTCGGCGAGTAAATTAACCCACAGACACAGCCCACTGAGTTCCTCGGCGGATCTTCTCAGTGGTTCGCGTTTCCGATCCGGTGGTAGACTCTGCGAAGCACGGTTCTTGCTAAGGTTCGTATTAGCAACATCGTCAGGTTTGAGCACGGTGAGCTCACCTAGTAATTCGGCGAATCTAGAATAATCCCTTGAGGTTACTAGAATAGATAGGAAAAAAAAATGCAAAATTTTTACATGAATTGAAATCATTCTAGTTCATTCTTAACGTGGACTGCTGTTTTTATGTATCAGCACAGTCATAATACAAATTCGATCAAAAACAAAATCAATTTCGTTAAGTATATACATCGAATATTTCGGAGGACAAATAATATTTTTTAAAACTTATCCGACTGCGAGTAACAAGACAGAAAATTTCCAATTGAAATTCGATCGTTTTATTAAGAAGCCGTTCGGATTGAGGTCGTTTCGTTTGTGACGTAGCTATAATTATGTACATACCAATAGCTTACACTTACAGGAATTATAATAATGGTGTTGTAAATCTATAATATCGATCTGTTTATTTACGCAATAACGAAGCAGTTACTGAGTACTGAGTAAATCGGCATGACTTTTTGGTACTTTTTGTCACGAAAAAAACAACACTTTTTTAAATCGATAAAGTTGGGCTGATTTCGATGGAATTTTCATCACATCTTGAGATTGGCCTGCTAGCAGGAGATCCTGTTATTTTTTATAGCGATCGGATCAAAGTCAAATAAAAATCGGCAAATCTGACCGGGCTTGGCTAATACTCTATAGAGACGCTAAAAAATCATCAAATCAAATCATAGAATTCGCTATGGTAATTTGCTTAACACTATAATGTACTTATTTTATCTTAAAGACGCCTAGATTTACGAGGACAAAGCCGCGCTTAATTAAAGATCGAGAAAATATGATTACCGGCCTATATATGTAGTTTACTCGAAGAAGCCTTTTAAAACGAACGTGCACATTGTGAAGAAACAAAAACAATATTTGCGGTCTTTCATTAAACGTATCCAGCCACACGTGATTCTATAAAATTACCGCATGCCGCATATATACCTTGTTGATGTTAGATAAGAAATGTTTTATAAACACTTGGCTCACTTACAAAACAATATTATAACTAACAGTCACGATCTTGTGAAAAATTTAATATTAAACATTTTCAATTAACTGATAAGTCGGATTAGTTACAAATGAAGTTGCAAAATGAGACATACGTTTTCCTTGCGGGTTCGTTAGGAATTTAACTACTTCATTCAGATGTTTATTTCGGCTATGTATACAGATTCTCGACATTTTGGAATCCTCAGCTGTATGCGAATTAATGACGTCTACCCCATTCTTCGGATCGCAGGCTACGGTTTCGCGGAACAAATCTATACTAATATTATAAAGAGGAAAGATTTGTTTGTTTGTTTGTATTGAATAGGCTCCGAAACTACTGAATTGTGGCCTAAAGGATAAGACGTCCGGTGCATTCGTATGTAGCGATGCACCGGTGTTCGAATCCCGCAGGCGGTTACCAATTTTTCTAATGAAATACGTACTTAACAAATGTTCACGATTGACTTCCACGGTGAAGGAATAACATCGTGTAATAAAAATCAAACCCGCAAAATTATAATTTGCGTAATTACTGATAGGAAGGTACCACCACCCCGCCTATTTCTGCCGTGAAGCAGTAATGCGTTTCGGTTTGAAGGGTGGGGTAGCCGTTGTAACTATACTTGAGACCTTAGAACTTATATCTGAAGGTAGGTGGCGCATTTACGTTCTAGATGTCTATGGGCTCCAGTAACCACTTAACACCAGGTGGGCTGTGAGCTCGTCCACCCATCTAAGCAATAAAAAAAAATGAAAAATTATTTCACTGTTTGGAAGTTACACTATTCCCGAGTGATATAGGATATAATCTTTTTTGAAAAAATTAGAGATCCCTACTAAAGCTCCAATAATGTAACCCAAGGTGTAAAAAAATTACCTAAAATATTCTTTAAATCGCGTGCCCTGCGAAAACTATTAATGATAGTATAAAAGAATGTACTACGACTTTGTAGAACACATTATTATTTACAAAAAGTGTCGCGACAGCATATGTTTAACTATTATAGTTATGCCGTAATAGGTGTTCTTTTATTTAAAAAAATAAAACAACGTCAAATATCGTTGAAATTTTTGTTAAAGACCCGAGCGGATCCGGAGCGGGTCGCTAGTTGGTAGATAAGTAGGTGGTGGCAAACCGTGAGATTTGACAGCATCTTAACACTAGTAGGAATTAAAAATTCCCATCTCCTCTGAACGGTTTCACGTACTCCTGAAGTCTCTCTCTTCAAAGGTCTTTTCAACTTTCCCTCGCGGTACTTGTTCCGGGTTTCGCGGTCATATTTAAGGCCGTCAGCGTCAGGTTTGAATTTACTTTTACACTGCTTCGTTGACAAAAACAATACGCAAAAATAAGTTTTTACAAAGTCATCTGTTATCTATGGGTGAAACTAGGAATAGGCTGGTTTTAAATCAAAACGTATTATGTTTTAAAAAAATTGCAATATAAAAGCACGAATATGAAACATTATGGGTTAGGCCATTTTTGCGTTGACGGCCTCATTTAGCCTTAGATGTTATTATTCTTTATAGACGAGAATATTAAATGAGGAGGAGAGCACAAATCCGTACCTTTTACTTAAAGTAAACTTAAATTATTTAGAAACAACATTTAATTTAACATACTATATACACATCTTTAATGTCACCACAATATGCCCACAATATAGTATCGTACCTGCTATGTTATAGTGCACACAACATTACCAAACGAATCAGAAACGCTACATAAAGTCTATGGATGAGATAACATCGTTGCCCCTCAATGACCCTGACATTAAAGATGCACATAAGGCATAAAAAGCAATAATTACACATCAGCTGGTTAGAAATTATTATCTCTTTAATCAAAGCTAACAAAAGTTCGATTTTAACAAACAAAAAAAAGGTTTTAGCCTTTTAAAAGACCGAAAACTAATCCAATATTATACCTACCAGGCAAGAACCCTGCTCCGATGCACTGGTGTAAAGAAAATTTAGTATACTGTAATTATTTCAGAATGAAAATTACAAAATCATAGTAAGTTACCGGCAATCAAGACGAATGCGGACCGACTGAGCCTGAGCTCGCTACGGCTGCGTTGCGAATTTCTGGAATTTTCCACGATCCAATATAGAACAAACAATAAGCAAACCTTTAAACAACCCACTTATTAAGGGTGACCCCTTTGGAAACCACAAACGTCCGTTTAGATATTGTTTACGTTTGAACTACGATGTAACGAGGGGTCGACGTTAAATGGTCCCTTCGGTTTCAAAAGATTTCTCTCAAAAATATATTTTCCGTCTTCATTTCATAAAGTTAGCAAAATTTTCTTTTAAAACAAAAACCGTACCAGTGCTTAACACTTGAAGGTCTTCAAGTTATTGTGAAAACGTTTTGTGAGCAAAAAATAACTTGGTCACGTTACGAAAAAAAAAGGCTTCCCTCCGAATTTTTTTTTCTTATATTTAAATGAAGTAGGTAAACGAATAATGTACATGAATCACATTTTAGTAAATAAATAAAAAAATATATAATGACAATTTCTGTAAAAATACTTTAATTATATTGCGTCACACCCTTTGCAGTGCGTACCCGAGCGAGGGAACCAATTAAAAGTACCTAAATATCACCTATGACATTAACAACGACAGTCACAATACCGACACTAGTCTAGGATAGTGACAGAGGGTCTAAGGAAGAATAGACATGGACTTCGGTATTCATCGTCGACTAGTACTAGAAGTAGAAGAGATGGTTTTGAGAGACTATATCAGCGTCACAGAGCGAATAGGTGAGCTCACGGGGCTCGAACCTGACGCTGTTGCTTTACTGGTGGTAGGACCTCTTGCGAGTCCGCGCGGGTAGGTACCACCACCCTGCCTATTTCTGCCGTGAAGCAGTAATGCGTTTCGGTTTGAAGGGTGGGGCAGCCGTTGTAACTATACTGAGACCTTAGAACTCATATCTCAAGCTGGGTGGCGGCATTTGTGTTGTAGATGTCTATGGGTTCCAGTAATCACTTAACACCAGGTTGAGGTATGAACTCGTCCAAGCATCTAAGCAATAAAAAAAGTGGACTACTCGCAACATCAACCCAGTAATCAAGCTCGACTTAACTCAAAGCAACCCTCGCTATGTTAACAGCATTGCCACTTACTAATATACTACTTGCAGGGTTCCCGGTCCCGGAGGGGATTGAGGAGGCAGTATCTACAGAATAGGACTTCGAAAAAAAAACCAGGATCGTGCTGACGAAAATCATATAGTAATATAAAAGTTCTGAACAAAATTCAAATCACCGGTGCGTTAAACAGACACGCTCCAACAGGCTCGGCAGAAGATCTTCCGTTTGCAGTACTTTTTCATGTCCATATTATAATTTGTCATGTTCAAAAAAGTCTATGATACTAGTCAAAGTACTAGAAGCAAGCCAATTAATTTGAAATTAATACGAAAAACACGTGACCCTGCACCTTTTTCATGAAAATACGTTTTTTTTCCTACCTAATCTGAGAGCCTTGAGAGGCTATATCAGCGTAACCTTAACTAGTAGGTGAGCTCACGGGGCTCAAATCTGACGACGTTGCTAACACGAACCCTAGCAAGAACCGTGCTTCGCAGAATTTACCACCGGATCGGAAACGCGACCCACTGAGAA